TTACTTTACTTAACTACTACACACACACACACACACACACACACACACACACACACACACACACACACACACACACACACACACACACACACACACAGTTTCTTTATATATTCCATACTGTGCTCCTGACATTGCTCCTGATCTCTTTATTTATGGTCCCAGGCCTGTCCATGTTTTCAAAGTCCAGTGTTAATTACTTTAACTACCTTTTGGGGGGTTTCCCTTGGTGAGACTTCAGAAGAAGGCTTGGTCTCTGGTGTCAGTTTAGCTTAGCTATTTTAATGTTTTATTTTGACATTTTAACAGCATTTACTGTAGTGTATGATTTATGATGCCAGCTAGAGCTGTGCTTGCTTTGAAATACTCGGCTCACAATTATCCCATTGAAATGTCCATTTTTCATTTTGCTTGTCCCGGCTCACCTTTTAAACCTTGAATCCATGTCCAGAGAATGTGGCATGGTTTACCCCATGTAATTTTGGAAGCAGGATGTGCAGGAGCCAATGAATACACCCATGAGTCCCCATTGGTTCCCACACACAATATATTCTTTCCAACATGGCAGGGTCCAAACAAGCCATTTTTATTACTAACGAAAGAAGAAGAAAAATCCAGTCTTATTTTTTAACTCAGAAGTAATTGGGAGTGGGGTGGGTGGGGGATATAGTGATATCCAATTCAAAGCCACAGGGACCTCTACAAGTATTCTTAAGACAATAGCCCATAGTGAATTTTGGACTTAGCTCAGGAAGCTCAAATCTCTGTGAGCCTGCTGTGTTTGCCATTGTTTGTATTCAATAAATACCTGTGCAGCTCTGCTACCAACGAGCTCTGACTTCTGACTCTGTTTTTCTCCCCGGGTTCCCCGGATGAGCTTCTAGGCTAATCCTGGGCTTTTCATCCCCTTCCGCTCTTTCCATTTTGTCTGAAAAATCTGGGATCATCCACAAAACCTTCTGATCTGTTTTTTTTTACAGATCCCCATTGATTGATGCATTGCTTGAGAGGTTTTGAATTCCCCAATGCTTTTTATAATCATTTCCTGTTGCAAAATGATTCAATTTCTCCCTAAGATTAATTTACCTCTTGTAATATGAAAAAACCCATACATCTCCAGCCCACTTTTCTGGACAAATCTGCCATGGGTGGGTCCTGGGCTCTTACCTATTGTTCTTCAGATCCAGCCCTCAGGGCCACCCAGAGGATTCAGGGGGCCTGGGCCCCCGCTGCCGAATTGCCGCCGAAGACCCAGCACTTCGGCGGCGGGTCCCGGGGCGGAAGGAGCCCCCCGCCACGGGTCTTCGGGGCACTTCGGCTGTGGGTCCTGGAGCAGAAGGACCCCCCGCCACTGAATTGCCGCCGAAGACCCGGAGCGGAAGAAGCTCCCGGGGCCTGGGCCCCACGAGAGTTTTCCGGGGCCCCCAGAGTGAGTGAAGGACCCCACTCCAGGGGCCCGAAAAACTCTCGTGGGGGCCCCTGTGGGGCCCAGGGCCTGGGGCAAATTGCCCCACTTGCTCCCCCCCTCTTCCCCCCAGGCAGCCCTGCCAGCCCTGCTTT